TAGACCCTGGTCAAAAAAAAAAAAAAAAAAAAAAAAAAAAAAAAAAAGAAGCTCTGATCTTGACCTCAGGACCAGGGCTTAAGATTTAAGATCCCACCAATCCCTGAGTTTGCCCCAGAGTCAGACTGCAGAATCCCACCAATCCCTGAGGTCCCTGAGCATGAAATCCCACCAATCCCTGAGCTTGCTCCAGAATCAGACCACAAAACTGGACCAATCCCAAGCCACCCTGGAAAGCAGCCTCCCCCTCCTCAAGAAACCCTATACAAGCTCAGTACCCTGTTCAGTTTGCTGCAGCTTCTCACCCTAGAGGTGGCCACCGAGGTCTGCTGTGATTGGGGAAACCTTTCCCTTGAACAGAGCTGCAAGCTGCCAGGCTTTCAGGGACTTTGTTTGGGGTGTTCCCTGGCTTCCCCTGGCCAGAATACCTTTCCATCCGAGCCACAAGGCTTACACGTACACAAGGCTCACGTGTTGTCAGAAGACAGCGTTTGGGAGTCCGTGTGATGATGTGGGAAATAGTGTGTACATGCCACGGTGAATGTGTGGGGGCCAAAAGGCACTGTTGTGGACTCAGCTCTCGGCTGCCACCTTCCCTGTGAGTTCCAGGGATCACGCTCAAACTGTTACTTTTGCACAACTACACCTTTTTTGCTCAGCCAGCTCACCAGCCCATTTTTTAAAAGAAAATTTCTCTGTCTCACTCGCTCTCATACGATTTGTGATCCTTTAAGCAAATTTACATCCAAACAGCCTACGTTTTCTTTAGTCCTGCTCTCTGGCCCACTATCAGCTCCATTCTCACATATAAATTTGCCAGAGCAACAGAACACCGCTTAAAGCGCAAAAATTCAGAAGTATAGCTCGCAATCCCAGCATTAAGGAGATTGATGCAGGAGAATTGCCATGAGTTAGAGACCAGTCTGTCACAAAATAAAAACATAGGAAAGGGGCCATTTAGATGGTTCAAAGGAGAAGGCAATCCTGTCACCAATCTGATGACCTGAATTCCTTCCCTGGGACCCATCTGGTGGACAGTGGAAAGAGAGAACCAACTCTGGGAAGCTGTCTTCTGACCTCCACAAGCATTCCATTTACACACACACACACACACACATACACACACACACGTGCGCGCGCACACACACACACGTGCATGCACACACGCATACCTAATGAAAATCCTAAAAGGGCCAGGACTGTAAGTCACTCTCAGACCTAGGCTCAATCTCTAGCAGCACTAGAAAAAGAGAAAAGAGTGGGCCTGAAGGGCAAAGATGGTGTTATACCCCAAGGGATATAAACTTAGCCCTTAACAGTGTTGACTCGCAAGGCAGAAACCACAGCTGTCATCTTAAAGGGAACAGAGATAGTTGCTACTGCCTTTTGGATGTATTAGCTGTCCTCATTGCATAAATCTGCAGGCGGTAGTGGACAGTTTACTCTGGGGCCATGGCTCGGGAACACAGACTTAGGTTACAACAAATCTCATGTTCCAAAATGAAAGCAGTTTCATTAAGTTTTTATAGTTCTACAGAGAAAAGGGAGTCACAAATCAGGGCAAGTGGAAAATACATTGGTGGGTACCAGAGAGGTGAGTACATTGAGACGCAGGAAGCTATTCTATAGATCTAAGATGAGAGCCGATAACATTCTTAGCTTTGGAGTGATGTTCTGCTACGTCAATAAATTCTAAAAGGTTTTTAGTTATTGTCACATGATGTTAATTCCGATACAGAGCTGGTCAAGGAATGGCTGCTCCAGAAGGCTAGCGCTAGCCCAAGATAAAGAAAAATTCACCTCTGAAGCTACACAAGTCCAATCTCTCCACAGTACTGAAATTCCAATTGCTCCATCATTGTTCACAGCCAAAGGCAGCTTCTTAGCAGTAATTTTCACTTCTAGGAGATAGGAGGAGGGTCAGAAGCTCAAAATTATCCTCGCCTAAGTAGCACGTGAGATTCTGTCTTGATTTTACAAAACAAGGGGACCACTGTCCCACAAATGTCATCCCAAGGTCAGAGGACATAGTTTGCTTGCTCAGTGCCAGTCAGTAATGTGCTTGCGATAGTTTTGAGTTCATGAAAGAGAACTGGGATTCTGCACATTGTCACTGAACTTCTCAGATCTCCTAGGCACTGCTGAGAGCCTCTTCAAGGCAAGCTATTATTATTACATCATGAAGCAGCCCTCAAGGGAGATGGATGTCACTCAGCAGTGCTGGGGTAAGCACCAGCTGCTGTACCTGGGCCTCATTAAGGACATACCATTCTTTCACACGTGCCCCCCCCCACCCCAGGCGATGGCTGCACTTCCTGCATGGTCTCCACCTGCTCCTACCACCAGGTCCATTTAATTCTACTCAACAAAAACTGCTAATCTGACTTGCAGAAGCTCTGTAGCTGGCAGAGAGGCAGGTCTAACAGGGCCACTGCCTGTCTTGGACCAGGCCTCCTGTTGGCTTCTGCCTCAAACCACCCTCTGACCACGTGTTACCTGGAATGCTACCTGTCTTGTCCTGCCTGCCAGGCGGACTATCTGTCTGTGAGAATGTCTTTTTCTTGGTGATATTCAGCCCCCAAACCAGCTTGTACAGCACTAAACCTCTGTCTTCTTCTGTTGCCTTCTCACCAACCCTATGTATTCATTAAAAAAAAAAAAAATCATCACCTAGAACCAGGTGTGGAGACCTCCCTTTTTCCTTTCTTCCTCCCTCCCTCCCTCCCTCTCTCTTTCCCTCCCTCCTTCCCTCCCTCCCTCCCTCCCTTGGATTTTGGAGGCAGGGTCTTGCCAGGCTGGCCTTTCTACAACAGCCTCCCAAGTAGTGAGTGTACAGCATACACCACCACCTCAGACCCACCACAAGTTTCTACTGCAGCCAATGCCTGCTCCAAGTCATTTTCCATGTTTCCAAACACAGCCTCAAGCTGAGCGGCATAACATAATGCTGCCATCCTTCCTAGAGCCATGGATACCAGGCTGGGAAAGGTGATGTTTACCTTCCTCTAAGGTGCCAGGCTCAGGTTGACCAACCAGATCCAGGATGGCCAACCACACCAATAATAAAAAGTAGTCTTGGTTTCCAAGTTCCTTTCCTGCCTCCCGCAGTAAGATGTGTTCACAGCACGGCATGTAGTCTGTTGGCATCTTTCCTTTGGCAACCTTGACTTTAGACAACTCTGAAAGCGAAGGGTGGCAGATCCAGCTGAAACCTCCAGGGTGGGGAGGGAGAGTTTAAAATGGCTCTCCATGCTCAGTCTCCATGGAAATGTGCTTCTCCTGCAGGGCCCAGGCCTCCTCCATATCCTGGGCCAAGCTAGGACTCTATGCAGAGATCGCTAGCAAGCCCTGTCACAGGAAGAGTGGATGCTCTGGGACTGACTCATCTGTTCCTTGGGTCACTGATACTCAGTATCAGGTGACAGCCTTAAATGACAAACCCCAGGCTGGCTGACTCGGAGCTGTCTTTCCTCTCCAGATGTCTCAGTAGTCTTCACTGACAACTTCAGGCTTCCCGGGCCCCTCACCAATTCAGTACTGGGGTCTTTACTTTTTTGCTTCTCTGTCCAAGCAAATATTTGTTACTAATTTCCCAATACCCTAACTTCATTGCTCTGTGTGTGTGTGTGCGCGCACATGCGCGCGCGTGTCCATGCCCAGTTTTTTGAAATATGAACTCAAGCCCTCATGCTTATACAGCAAGTGCCTATGGAGTCATCTTCCCAGGCCTTCACTCTCTTTTCTTTTCTTTTCTCTTCTTTTTTTTTCTTTTGTTTTCCTTCCTTCCTTCTTTCTTTCCGAGGCAGAATCTCAGGTGGCCATCTCTCTTGGAACTCTCCTAAGCAGCCAAGGATGCCCTTGAACTCTTAATCCTCCTGCTTCCACCGCAAAAGTACTGGGGGTTTTTGAGACAGCGTCCCTCTCTATATGGCCCTGGCTGCCCTGGAACTCACTATATAGACTGTTGGGCCTTGAGCCCACAAAGACTGCTTGCCTCTGCCTCTAGAATGCTAGGATTAAAGACGTGTCCCACCCCACCCGACATGCTGAGATTTCTTAACCCTCCTTTCTTGGTTCTTTCTCTTAGTGCCAGGATCCTGGTCATCACCCCTCCTAACTCACTTATACCTTATTTTTCCCACTTCCTCTTTCCCTTTACTGTTGTGAAGAGGAAGGGGCAACTGCTGGATGTGCCCAAAAGAGAACTGGATCAGGTAGCAGACTATCTCAGCTTTCCCTTCCTGGTTCTGCCTCTGCCTTTGAGGTCTCACTTCCACACCTGCATGGCACTCTCTTTCTGCTGGCAGAATCCAGTCAGTGGAGGGGAGACTGGCGTTAAACAAGGTGCCTTGGCTGAGACACTAGAGGGAGGTTCTGGGAGCATTCGAAAGTGATGGTATCTTGTTACTGAGTGAGCCAGAGTCTCACTCAGTAACCCACAAGAACAACAGGCTGAGCAGATTATATACAGGAAGAAAAAGTGTTGGGCAAAAGACCAAGCTGGTTTAAGAAAATCAATGCTGGGCATATTTGCATAAGATCCCTACCCTAGTACTAACTCTGTAACCTTGAATGAACCCTCTCCTCCAGTTTTATTTATTTATTGTGTGTGTGTGTGTAACTTTTTATCTGTATTTATTGTGTATGCACAAACACACATTGATGTACCAAGGACTTCTGGGATTGTTTATCTGCTTCTACCACCTGGGGATAGAATTTAGGTCATCAATGTTGGTACAAGCGCCTTTACCTGATGATCCATTCATAAGCCTGAGATAGAGTCTCATGTAGCTCAGGCTAGCCTCAAAAATCTATCAGTAACTGAGGATGGCTTTGAACTTTTGCTCCTCCTGCCTCCATGGGCATGTGCCACCCTCCATGCCTTTCTGAACATCATGATTTCTAGACAAGCACTCTGCCCATCAGCTGCCGCCTGCCCTATAGCTGTTCCTTTAAATAATAGTTCTGGTCCTGTTGAGTCTCCTGTGGCGCTCTGATAAAAGATGGACTCCTGCTAGCAGGAAAAAATACTACAAACATTAAGTCAACTTCTAGGCCTCTGCCCGCTTGAATCCTGGGGGCCCAGGAACATCTTGGTAAGGATGGAAAGAGCTGTGGGTAGGCCTGTCTTTTGTAAACCCCATATGGAGTTCCTGGCCATTCAGAGAAAGCATTCTCTTGTTCATCCATTCAACAAGTCATGCTTTGGGGAACACCTAAGTGTCAAGCCCCACATTGGGGCGGGTGTATTGTGAAGCTGAACCATCGGGGCAGGCGCATGGTGAGGCTGGGCGAGGTGAATCAGACCCAGTGCCCGTACCCTGGGACACTCACGGTCTGGTGGGAGGAGGCCAAGAGAGGACAATGAGTGTTCAGTGATAGAAGAGGTAGCAGGGCGGACCTGCGGGGGCCTAGGGAGAGGGAGAAGCAAACTCACTTCCCCCTTTGCTCCCTCCCATAGCAGTCAGTTCCTAGACCTCTAACTGCAAAAGCAGCTGAGAGGAAAAAGTCCCCCACCTGGTAGACCAAAGTTCCCCATGGGGCTACTCCCGTTTGCCTGAGTCAGAACTTCCCCAGCTCTACTACCCCACCCCCATCCCGTAGTCTGGAGGCTGCAGCCAAAGGCCTCAGCCCAACTGCCCCCAACACCCCCAGTTGTAGTGTTCTCCTGTTCCTCCTTCTCCTCCTTTTTTTCCCCCAAGTTGCTAATGTTCTAGTTAATTTGTTTCGATTTTGTATGGGGGTGTCTTGTCTGTATGTAAGCCTGGTGCACCACTTGTGTGCCTGGTATCTGCAGAGGCCAGAAGAGGGCATCAGATCTCCTGGAACTGGCGTTACAGATGTTGGGAACCAGTCTGTGTGTGCTGGGAATCAAAGTCCCATCCCCTGGAAGAGCAGCCAGTAGTCCTTTTTTTGTGTGATTTATTTTTATTTTTTGTACATTTGTGTCTGTGTGAGGGTGTCAGAACCTCTGGAACTGGAGCTACAGACAGATGTGAGCTGCCATGTGGACGCTGGGAATTGAACCCAGGTCCTCTGAAAGAGCAGCCAGTGCTCTTAACTGCTGAGCCATCTCTCCAGCCCCCCCCCTCTTCTTTCTTTCTTTTTTATGTTGAGGCATGGTCTCACATATTGCAGGCTAGCCTCTAGTTTTATGTGGTGCTGGGGATCAAGCCTAGAGTCTCCCACATCCAGCCAACAAACACGCCACAATCTGAGCTGCCTCCCCAGCCCTACCACCTCCTCTCTCCACCTTAACCCTACAGGGAAACAAGGAAAGACAAAAATTACCGACTTTAGGGAAGCTGCAAATTTTTAAGTGACTTGGAGAGTCCTGGTTTGAACTGGTCTTTTTCACCAATACCAGGGCAGGGCTGGGCTTCCTCCTGCCTCTTCTCAAACTTCTCCTTTGCTGTGTTTCTTTGAGGTGAAGTCAGCAGCTCCAGCCTGGGGCATCAGCAAGCCTGCCTGTCCAGGTTAGAAGTTGGTGGCGCCTGCTTGTCCTGGCTGCTATATCAGCCCTCTTGTCCCGACCCTTCAGCATTCTCTTTAAAGGAGCCTCCTGTTCCTCTTGCTCACCCTCAATTAGATTTGCCATTCTATCTTCTACTTTTTTTTTTCTCAAGATATTTGGTCTATCTATGTAACCCAGGCTGGTTCCCAATTCTTGCCTCAGTTTCCAGAGTAATGGGGACTACAGGTATATGTGTCATAACAATGAGTTTAGCTGTTTGGTTTTGTTTGTTTGAGACCGGATCCCACTATGAAGTCACAGCTGGCCTGGAGCTAGCCGTGTAGACCAGATTGGTCTGGAATTCACAGAGGTCTATCTGCCTCTTCCCCCCACCCCAAGGGCTGGGATTAAAGGTGTGTACCACCACAACCAGCTGTTTCCTTTTAAGGCAGGGTCTCACTCTATAGTCTAGGCTAGCTTCCAACTCTCACCGCTCCTGGCTGACATCCGCAGGGCTTAAATGACACTTGCGTGCCACCACGACCAGCCTTCAAGGCGATAATTCTGGCCTCATCAAAAGTCCAAAATGCAGCAATAAAACCCATAGTGTTCAACTGCCTAATTCGTAAGGTGACCTGGTAGCCAAATAGACTGACTTATGTATTCAATTTTATTTTGTTTTTACTCCAGGGGTAGGGTGGGGTAGGGGTTGCTGAAGGGTGAAATGGTTTCATGTCTCACGTAGCCCAGGCTGGACTCAAATCCATAGTCAACTATGGTCTTGAATTTGTGTTCCTCCTGCCTCCACCTCCTATGTGCTGAAATTAGATGTGTGTACCACCTTGCCTGGCTGGCTTGAATATTCCAGGGAAGCGGTCACCTACAGAGACATCTTTACAAAAACCTCTCAGCTCTAAGTTCTTTTGGCTTGTGGTGTTTGGGACAATGTCATGAGTGTACTACAACAAACAGAGATGAACACATTTGTATCTTTCTACAGTGCCAGAATTACTCGAATTCATCAGTTCACAAAGCAGAGCAGTTTCGTTGCCGGCAATTTGCTAAGTCATGTTGATTGATGTACTTGGTGGCTAATTGAGGCAAATGCAGGTTCTTTTATTCCATTCTCTGGAATTACTAATATTAACTCTCAGATCACACAGTAAATGGGGGGAGGGTTATAGAATGGGGTTAAAGAGGGTTAAACAGACTGTAGGAGAGTTTGGAGTTTCGAAGAAATCGGATAGGCAGAAACTAGGAAACTGAAGAGGATAAGAGTTATCTGGGTAAGCGAGTCAAGTAGCTAAGCTTGCTGGAGGTTTCCTGGAGGCACAGATGTTGAGTCAGTGTATGAACCAAGCTCCAGAACGGACTTGAGCTGCAAAAGTAGGGTAAGGGGCAACCAGAGGATGCAGAGTAAAGGACCAGGCCCACATGACTATAGGTGGATTTTTATGTCCTGCCATCTTGCTCCCAAATCATAACACAGAGACTTACTATTAATTATAAAGGGTTGGCCTGTAGCTTAGCTTGTTTCTAACTAGCTCATGTAACTTAAATTACCCCATTTCTACTCATCTGCATGTGGCCAAGTGGCTCGTGGCTTTTACCTCTCCTCCTGCATGTCTTCATCCTCTTTGCAGTTAGCTTCTTCTTGTCCCTAGCATTCTCTCTGCCCTGAAAATCCTGCCGAGCTATTGACCATATCGTTTCTTATTCAACCAATCACAGTGACATATCTTCACACAATGTAAAGGGATATCCCACAACAACACGGCAAATCCAGACAGATGAAAGTGTAGCACCACACTGCACAGCAATTTGAGTAGG